GCGGTTCGTCAGGGCTGACGAGGGGCAAATTGAATTGATTTGCCTGCCTTGTAAAATAATATTTAGCTGTTGGTCTTGACGAATTGCTTAAATTGTGGCATTTGATTGATAGTTTTGTCCATACTCCAGTCAAACGTAAGCGGACTTTTCTATAACCACGTTTGCTGCTCTTCCAAAATTCTACGATTAACAGAAGCCGCGTTTTATGCCCCTAAAGTATGCTACATATTAAGTTAAATTGATGTTGCTAATTTGGTAATTTTAAATGTTAAGAAAAGAATTAAGGAGAAAATGAAAAATAAAAAGGTTATCAATGTAATAAGTGGAAGGAACAACTAAGCATTAATCTAAGCATTAATTAATAACTCTTAAAATAATTTAATAACAAGGTCGTTTTTTCCAATAGAAATTGTGAGCGTGTAGTGGAAAGTATACAAATTTTTTTATCTGTTTATTAAGTTCAGTTTTCATGATACGGCGAGGAGCTGCTTGTGGAACTACTTCCTTTATTTTTTACCTAAACTAAGCCAACATGGAATGTTAATATATATCTTTTAATTTGATAAAAGCTTTGGAATCTGTTAATATTTTTTTTATTTGACATAAATTTAACATGGAGAAAATCTTAACATATATATTTAAAAGGCTATCTTAATAAATATATATTTCTTTGAGTTAATTTTATATGTTTTTTAATTTGTAATAAGCTTTAGAATCTGCCTTTATATATATATTTTTAATTTGGCATAAGCCTTTTCTTTTAATGTGACATAAAGTTAACCAACGTAGAATCTGTGCTAATATATATCTTTTTAGTTAGATATAAACTTATTTATCATCGAATCAATCTTACATAGATTATAGAACCTAAAATAGAATACATCTCGAAACATATATCTGTTGAGAACAAACATTTCGAATAAATTTAGTGAAAAAGTTTGCCGCAAATCAAAATTTCCTTGGCGTATTTTAGACTAATTTACAAAGAACATTCACATTTCATTTTACCATAATTTAGTTAATGTTTCAATTATTATTGTTAGAACAAACTTTTCGTATCACATATTTGTAGCTAATTTATAGCCAAATATAAATTATTATATTGATTATTTTCTTTGCGATTATCAAAAAATATTCGTGCAGCTGACAAAAAAATTTTTTTTTTTTTGGCTAAGTCATGACGACGTCACGTTCGTGCCGGTTATCAGGTGAATTCCTATTAAATGCTATTTACAAGTTCGAATACCCATAAATTATTTCTAATTTATTTCTTAAAGCATTGATTCAAAGCTGTCATTTAGCCAGTTTTGTGTTTTGAAGTGATAAGTGAGAGTGAGCGATTTTCTTGTCACTTGGTCGAAAGCCACAAAGAAATTCATTTCGTTGCCGTCAACGACATTCTGAAGGTTATTTAAGTAGCCGACGAACGTTTCGTGAAAGCTTCCATCATTTACGATTGATGATTGATGTCAGTCATTAGCAAATAACATAAGCAGCCGATGTGTCGGAAATTAGTTAAGATAGCTTTTTGTATAGTGCTTACATTTTATAAATAGCTCAAATTACTTTTACCTATATTTTCAATTTATGTGAATTAATTATTTAATTATTATTATTATTATTTAATTTAATTTTAAAAAAATGTCCATGAACTTAAACAGTTTTAATATATATTTTTTATTTATTTGTTTATATTTATAAAAGCTTGGTTCCCTTATTATGAAAAAACGTTTAAAAAGAAACTGTTTGGGTTATGATTTAAACCACATTTAGTTTGGGAATTTCTATAGAGACTATGTTGAATGTTTTGAAGAGTAATTTTTATCTTGAAAATATAAAAGCGCTCTAGTTAAGAGTGACAAAACTCTTTTTCTACCAACACCAAATTTAGCTCGCGCCGAAATGAAAGATATTTGAAACCTATTCTCGATGGCTTCTTGAACTTTAAAATCTTTGTCCTGACGAAATGACTTTTGATAGAATAATTTTGATGAAAGCTACGATTTAGAATCTAAAATATTTAATAAAAATCATTTTGTTGATCTTTATATGAGTTTTGATCTTAAGTTTCATTGCGAACCGTTGCGGTTACATCAAGTCGAAGCCTTGAGCTCAAAATTTTGTTAACAATAACAACAACACGATAAAATTGCCTTTAAATTTGCAACAGCAACTTACCACTTGTAACTACTTAGGTGTAAGTTCCGCTCACTGGCCGATCGATGGGTGTGACTTGCGGCAACTGATGAAAAATACAAAAAAACAACACTTTTTGACCGAACTGTGGCATGAGGCACGCCCCTGGTTGGCAATTTGGTGCGCTTCGTTGCGCGTGAAAATTATGATTTTTGCTTTTGGGAAAATCTCATTAAGTTAAGGTCTGAAAAAGGATGCCGATGGGCGATGCCTGGCCAGCATGGACTATCGCCTAGGCCATAAATATAGGTGGAGAGAGGTGTGCAGGCGTCGTGAGGAGGGCAGGGGGGTGTGGTTATATGCAATGTAATTTGCATGCAGCTGGGACGCCGAGGTAGCCGGCATTCGAGCCAAATTGAAAAGCTCACTGACCGACGACCGCCCGCGATAACAACAACCAGAACAACAACAACAACAACCAGTAGAACAAAAACAACATTTAAACGCATGTTACGTAGTATTTTAATTAAGCGCACATTTTTATAGACATTTCTTAATGGCGCACCATAAATTTTCGGTCTACCCAGAAGTGGCATCGGTTGGTGGGCGTCCGAGCAGGGATCGCGGCGCTGGCGTCCGAGCAGGGATCGCACACGCAAAGCGTAACTCAGGAATCTCGTGTTTTATTCGCTCTCCCTCTCTCTCTCTCTCTCTCTGTGTCACTCTGTCTTACTCTCTGAGATTCCATTTAGCAGAACGCATATAAAAAGCGCGGCAGGCGACGTCGCTGCTGCTCATAAATGGAAAGTGAATTTTATGCGGTGCTTTAAACAAAGTTGTGAAACTGAAACGTTTTGTATTAAAGATTGAAGCACAACGTCGAACGCTTGATAACTTCATTGCGGCTCGGCTTTTTGGTGTCTCTCTTATGCACGATCCTCGCCTGCCCTCCTCGCCCCCCCTCGCGCCGCGCACGTTGCGTTCGCGCCCCACCCAACGGTTGCATGAGGCAACTTTGTAGCCGCCTTATCGATGCACCAACTGATAAATGTTTGACACAGTGTGTGGCTTATTTGAGTTACAGTACGTCCTCGTTCGCGCCGCCGCCGCCACCTCCGACGTCCCACCACGCACCTGTTTTCCGTAGCGCTCATGAACACTCAGCGTGTCATTCACCCGACGACGACAGGCAATTGCAATTGAGCAGTAGTTGCGGCAAAAGTGTATGAGTGTCGGCATGAATGCAGCCGTATGAATATGGGCGTGAGTAGTAGAGTATCTGTATCTGTATCTGGTAAATACGTTTTATGACCAGCCAGGGTACAAGCCGTTTAAGCTTTGCTTCTTCACACAAACGCACACATTTACACTTGTGTTCGTTCAGACTCGAAAAACACTCACATTCGTTTTGTTTGAATAAGCAGTATATGCTTCAGTTAGTTAGTCAGAGCTTGGCAAAAGCATTATGAATAAAAGGTAAATAATAAAATGGAGAGTAAAAACCAAACCAAAATGCAAATATATAAATCGATGCAATTGTATGAATAGTAAATGCATTTGCAGTCCTTATATGAATACTCAATTCATTATTGGGCATAACTGCTATGGATATGAATTTGAATACTATAATAATATGAATATTGATTGATGATATTATGATATAGGCATATATACAGTTAAAAATATAGGTTCGATTAAATGAATAAAGGACTTTTCAAAATAGACTGGAGGGAAAATAATATCGAAAAATGTAATTATTAAAAAAATGCTTTCTAAACTCTGTAAACATTTAAGTGGGTATATTCAAAATATTTTCTATATATCCATAAAAAGCACCTTAGGCCTTTATACAATGTACTACTAAAGATTTAATTGTTTATTCACTATTTAATTGTTATATATTCAAAATATTCATAAAAAATCTTATATTCTTATAACATTCACAACGAGAGGTTCTTTTGAATGATTCATAGATATACAGTTCTCCCACTGGCATTTTTTTAAATATTCCAAATATTCACTATATATTAATAAAATATATTTGGTGACCTTATAACATTTACAACTAGGGGTTTGGTTTATGCCGCAAAGGCATATGCTTCAATGAAATTTTAATCATTACTCATAAACATTTTAAATATTCACTTTCATTCGTAACAAGAGTTCATTTGCATGCTACATACAGTTTAAGTCTCTTTAACTAAGTATTATATTCCAAACATTTATTATATATTCATGAAATATATTTGATGTATCTATAATACTCATATCCATATACTAATTTTTATGCTATTTCAAGCATATTTAACTACTCCACTGACATACAAATCCATTAAATACACTATTTAATTGTCATATTTAAACACTCATTTACGTAATTTATCATTATTGCCTGCACTCACTTATTCACACCCATTATCAATTAGTCTCAAAATAATCAGCTAATCAATATTTATGTGATGTGCACATATTTCCAAGCATTCAAAGTTATTCAGAAAAAAATAAACAAATAAAAAGTGGTGTTTGGCGAGCGCAAAAGTTTAGTTCAAAGTTGACTTGAACATGTTGCATACCTCATGTGGCAAGGCGATTCGTGGTACGTTTCGGCTCGCTTCGAATCGTAATGGAATGATTTATTTGCATATGCAACATCGAAATGCACTCACCAGACCCCAAAATGAGGCGACTTTTAAGTGGCCGGCACTCGACTGTTGCCTGAGTTACACATATATATATATTTTTTTTTTTCATTTATTTTTTTTTATTTTTTGGCTGTCTCTCTTTCTGCCCCCGAACTGTCGCCAAGTGCTCCATTTCTCAGGCGGAGCACTTTGGTGTAAAGCTTATTAACGAAATTGTGTTTATTTGTGTTGTTGTTCGCTTCTTGCGCTGTTTGTCGCTGTTCTTTATTATCGAGTTTAATGGATTTTTAATGAATCTTAAGCGAAGCTTTTGACGGCATTTATAATAAAAAAAAATGTATAAAAAAAAGCGATTAATCCTTCTTATAAAGGCGCTTCCGAAACTGTGCGTTTCTGTCATTTGGAAATCTCTTTCTCTATGCCGCCTTTATATAACTTCAGATAGTCTTTCTCCCGTCTTAGTGATCGTCAGCGCTGTATATGTAGATCATTTTCTTGAAAATAATACGTTGACTGTCAATTTGTAATGCAATCAAGCTGTCAGCTCATCATAGTAGGAGTTCACAACCAACATGGCATACACGATTAAAACTACAAAATGGCATAAAGAAATTGTGAATCTTAACTGAAAATCGCAGTGCTGCAAAGCTATCGATAACGGATATACCGTATATCGATAACAATAGTGTTTGTTAGTGTTGCAAAACCTTCCCCTCTTAAGTCATTTGTTTTCGTTGAAATTGGTCGATAACACTAACACGATTATCGCTATAGACATGATATATAATTTCAAGGACTTTTCCATATCGTTTGCAGTCGAGACAATTTGTACAGTTTGCCACGCTGTACAATCGCGAGCGCCTTCGATAGTTTTGCAACACTGGGCACTTGTCGATTACTTTGCTTACCGATTCTTATAATCGCAATTGCACTAAGCAGAGCTGTGGCTATAGTACAAATTAGTACTATGAAATTCACTATAAGCCAGGGTCCCATGTACGCAGGGTTTTTCTATAGTTACCCATAATGTTGAAAATGTTTTTATCGACGAACTGTCAACTTACCGCCATTGCTCCAGAGATTAGCAATAGATCGCTGAAAGACATAAGGTAAAAGACAATTGCGAAACAGAAAACACACTGACGAGCGTTCATCTTGTCAAAAAATGTGATCACCCACACTGGTAACTCTTTGCGAGTCACAAAATAGATGCCAAGACATCCCAGAGAAAAATCCTTAATCCCGAATATGCAGCCGATGATCATCGTCCCGAATTGCAATGATATGCAACAACAGCATTTCAATAGGCGCATCTTGATTGTCTAAATGTATTTCTGATTAAAAACGTTTAAAATTGTAAATTTATCTTATCCGAAGACTTTTCTTGAGGAGAGCATAACAGATTTTGTTTTTTACGGATTTATTTTTTTTATATTTTCTGTTACTAAACTGCAGTTTTTTGACATATATGTCATGGTAGATGTTTTCTTGTTGATAGCTTGCTTTTTATTTACTTCGTTTTATTAACTTTCGTATTATGATATAATATTCTTGCATTTAATTTCCCGAAGATTTGCCCTTTTACATATATAGCACATACATAAAATATCTTAAAAAATCGGACTCCTATATCATATAGCTGCCATAGGAATGATCGGTCATAAAGTATGTTCGTGTACGGCAAAATATTTTGCTTTTCAAGATACTCAAACTCAGCAAATGTCTGCAAAGGTATTAAAGCTTCGGCATATGTATTCCTTCTTTCTCTCTTTTTTTAATTAGAACCCAGGTTCCCATAGTACAAAGTTCAAAGTTCGTGAAATTCGTTTTCAATCAGTTATCGAAATGATTTCGCAGAATTGTAATTGCGCAGAAAATATAAAAAAAAAAAATGAAAAATTAAGTATAAAATTGAAAAACGCATTAAAAGACTAAAGAATATAATTCAATTCGTATACCGCAAACGAATTATTTGGTTTTTATCAGTGACCAACAATCAGTTCGAGGGCCTGCGACGACCAACCTCAGAAGTAGTTTTCTGAAGTGTTAGCAGGCGGTTCAAATCCGCCCTCTGACAGTTGAGGACGCCGAAATGTTGTTTGATTTTTGTTCTTTGTCACATTCTTTGATCGATTATGAGCCCATTATGCCTCGTCAAGCCAGAAATATTTGTTCAAAGTCCGAACCAGTTCGGTTTCTTGCATAACGCTTCTCTGGCACCGCCTGCATTGTGTGAACCACGACAAGGTCGTTGGCATTGTGCAGGGCGGTACTAGTTGACTCTAGTTGATAAGAATTTTGGCACTGCAAATTGTGCGCTAAGTATAGTATCTTTCGAGTGCTTTAACAAGCCGCAAAATGGGTGTTTTTTTCGTCTTCTTCTTCATGTTTCGGTGTGGTACCGGGAATGTACCTACTACAAGCAGCCACTTCATTTATCACCAATGGAATTTTAATTGAGTTAACATGTCGTGTAAATGACAGCAGCGACGTCTGGGCGTGCAGTTGTGATTCAGATGTTAACGCAATGCTTGGCATACTCCGCACTGTGTGGGCGGAACCTTATGCATTAAACTGGTTCACGGTTCATTGTCCCAGACGATTGGCTAAGCCAATGGATCGGTAGGGCTCAACATTTGAGCTGATTTGGTTTGTTGGGAGATGGGGTTTGTCTATTCGAAGTAGTTGATTGGTTCCGATGGGATTGGAGTGACAGTATGATTTTTTCTGTTCTATTGTGTTCTATTGATCAAGTTCAAGTTCACTTAAAACTAAAAAGATGTTTCGCTGAAAATTTTGCAAATCATAATTAGCACGCAATTTAGCATGGTCGGTTCAAATGAACTAGTTCAACAACATTTAACAAAGTCCATTATGTGATTTATTTGTTTAATAATTCATTTGCCAAATCCCTTGTTTTGAACAAGTTCAGCTCGTGCATCTTCGTCAGGCTTATTTTAAAATAGAACAGTCAATATTTTTTTTTTTGCATACCACGTGTGAATAAACGATTCGTTTCGGAACGCATGGAATGATATATTAGCATATACAACATTCCCCGGGGTTCATTCGCTCATACATCTTCGTCAGGGCTTTGCGCTCTGTCGCAACCAAAATCCTCAATAGATCTTAAAACAATGCCCAGAGCTTGACACGAACTGACCTAAGTCGCAATACGCAGCTGATAAAGAGAGGACAGTTTGAACTCCATCAACTAGCCACTGGGCCACGCGACATAGTTAAGCTGACAACTTGGACTTGATTTTAGGGGAATAGTTAAGGCTAACGAATGGGTTTTTAATGCCATACAACCCGAAATAGAAACGATTGCACGGTATGCTAAAATAGAAATGGTCAAACTTGGATGGTATTTTTGCTTCTCTCTTTCCTAGTTGGCGCTTGGCGGTATCTATGGGTATTAATATCTGGATTTCCCCATCAACCCGACAGATATACTTGCTGACAAGCCTCCGGCAGGAAATTAACAATTTCAATTACATTTAACTAAACGAGATAATTGAAACGCTAGCCCGGTAAAAAGCCAACGACTGGCGTGTGGCACAGCTTAAAGCTCTGTTGCGTTTTTTTACTTCTTCTTTTTTGTTTAACTTCTCTTTTTTTTTTTTTTTGGTTATAACTTTTTTGTGTGCAAGTGTTGCTTTTATCGCACTACACAAACATTGTTAGGTTGGTTAATCCACAATAAAACAAATTATTTGACAAGCGCGTTAATTGATTTGGGTTTCGTGAAATTCGTTTGGGCCAACAAGAAGTGCAAAAGAAACAACAAATTCTGAGGGTATTTCCCGTGTGACGAAACTCCAATACGCTAGAAAATCAATGGAATTTAACCGGATTTCTAGGAGAAGAAATCTGTCTGTTAACGATTGTTAGATGGTAAACAAAAGTGACTTATTGTAACTATTTAAATAGATATTATATCCGTTATTTGATTCTGATTTATAATATATAAAAGCCAAACAATTTAAGCTGCATAAATACTATTATGTGAGCGGAAGATACACAATATACAAAGTGTTGCGTTTATTTATGATTATGAAAACCATGGAGAAGTATGAGTTTTCGGTTTATATCTTCCACATTCTGAGAGTCAAATCCGATATTTTCCCTAAAAAACTTGGCTAACGAAGTCTACAGAATAGGAGGCATATATACATACATAAATACAAGCCATATTTCATTCATTTCATTTATGAATTTATATAGACTATATAAATATATTATTATTAAACATTCTTTTATATATATTTACATAATTATCGATAATTCTATTAATAGCCTTAACCATGGCATTTAGAGTTTAATATGCCTATACAAAATATGTTATTAATTTATTAATATATATTTATATGATATACTTATATAAAACCTCTTAAGATTTTTCAGGTGTATTATATGTGGCAGGGATGCCGATGACTGCGATAAATTATCATCGATTTATTCGTTTCGATTTGTAAAAGTCCCCAGTTTTGTTTATTAAGTTATTCATGTAACCCATACAAAGCTAACGTAAAACTTTTAAGGCCCCCGCCAAGGGTATTAAAAGCAGGTGGTTGGCATGCAAATTCCTAAAATATTTTCGAAGTGAGTGACGCGCTTAGTTCGATAATTTAAGTCACGGCTTTTTTGATGATAACTGATAAATGATATAGTAAACACTAAATAAAATGATGTAGTAAATACATAATTGGCAGTCACGCGTTTCTGCGGGATTCACATTAAAATTGTGCTATCAAAAGTTTGTTTACGATGCAAACAAAAATATATATATATATATACATATATATTTACAAGTTACGGTCAGATATTTCGAGGATTGCAGTTATATAGAGTACGTAGAATCAGGCGCCTTGAAATCCACTAGTTTATTATACTAAAAACAATATGTCAGATATCAGCGTTCTATTATTATTTTATACTTTCATAATGCTAATGCAAACATTAGAAACATGTACTTCGTAATAGAATTTGAGAGCCTTTAGGGTCTTTAAGCGGATGTTACCACACATCAGGTCGATCCAGCGGGCCACGAGCCGCCAGCTAGAAGATAACACAAAATGCGTTTTGCAATGTGTGTACGAGTGTGTGTGTGTATGTGTGTGTGTGTGTCTGGGGGGCATTTTATATGGGTATAAGACCGACCGTAGACCTATTTTCTATTTGTTTAAGACCAGTTAACGTCGCCGTCGCCGTCGCCGTCGGCATTCGCGTTGCATGTTACAGGAAATAAACAATAAGTAATTATGCACTCGCATTGTTGCCAGCTCAAATAATCGCCCACCGGCAAGGTGATGTTTATAACGGTTCCTCGCTCCCCAAAACATGCCAAGTCTGGATACGCACACATATATCTTGTGGCATGGCTGCAACAGAAAACATCATCATAAACAGCCGGTTCTGACTTGTCAACAAACTGTTCACAAAAAAACGAAGACATGCAAGGGCTGCACGTCGAAGAATGAATACCCTTATCAATATATTTGATATTTTGGAGAACTAAAGAATTTTTCATAGAAAAAACAATATTTTGCCTATAGATCTATATGATGTAGCAGTACAGTGCTGATAGGATTTTAAAGATTTTATTTATAGATGAAAAATGTTTGAAAACTCTTAAGTGCAAAGCAAGTTTTCTTGAATAAATGTGATGCATGACGATAAACATAGAAACAAGCAGAAGAAGAGTTGTTACTGATGAACAATATATATATACTTTAACGGATCGGAAATATCGTATTTAATGATAAAGTATAAAAACTCTCGATCAGGGTATAAGTAGAAATGTATGCCGCTTGGCGCTTGCCAGACGTACACGCAGCAGGTTCAGCTGGAACAGCCTTACGAGCCGTAGGAGCTGCCCTGGCCGTCTCCTACACTGAGCGGAAGTTTGACTTTTGACAAATGCACCGCCAGAAAAACCCAAAAAAAAAAAAGGGAGAGTGCTCTGCAAGCAGCCAAAGCTTCTTCCTGTTGTGCTTTTGGCGGCTGCTTGCGGCACAACTTAAGTGGGTCAACTGCAGCTGACATAAGTCGGTTGCGTATTGTCTGTGCCTGTGATCTGTGCCTTGTGGATGCGTGCCTTAATGGTGCATGCAACACAAGTGAAAGTGCAGGAATTTCTGGTGCATAGCATAATTATATCATTGTTTTGTTTATTACAAGAACTGTGTTTATAAAAATTTATTAAAATAAAATATAAATCATTAAAAACATATGCACAATATAATAAAAAATATATAAACTCATTTAATAACAGACACAAAACATATTTTAATTTTAATAAATAATATATAAAGATTCAAAACATTTTATAATCATTATTATTATTAATTAATATTTAAATAAATAAAAAAAAATGTAGGCTTAAATAACTCATAACTATTTCAAGAACATAAACAAGTAAAAATGTCGAATTTTGCACAATCTTTCGAAAAAGTTTGTGATATATGAAAAAGTAGCTA